CCCCCGGAGCTTAGGAGCGGGGCCAAAAAAGGGCAATTTTGCTACATTGCTACATTGTTATAAACAATTTCTTCTCTAGAACTATGCACTTGATATGATCATATTTGGTTGGAAGCACTCATGGGAGGTGGGGATTACCGGTAAATATTGTACAAATGGAGGGGCTGACCCCCCAGGGGGCTGAGGATGGGGCCAAAAAGGATAATTTGGCTATATTGCTTTAAGCGAAGTCATAGATATCAACTATATTTGACTGCAGGTAGCGTCCCTAGGTGGTGGCGATTCAAAACAGTACTAATGGTGGCTTTAAATTGCTTTAAGCGACCTCTCCTCTAGAAATAACAGATGGATATCAACAATAATTTGCTTGAAGCATCCCTAGGTGATGGGGATTCAAAATTGTACAAATGGTTGGGCTGACCCCAAGAAGCCTGAGGGGTAGGGCCAAAAAGGGCTATTTTGCTATATTGCTTTAAGCGACTTCTTCTCTGGAACTAAGCAATGGATATCAACTGTATTTTGATGGAAGCATCCCTGGGTGGTGGGAATTAACAACTGTACAAATGGACAGGCTGATAGTCAGTCAATGCATCACATTCTCTAGCGTTTGTCAGTGAATTCGATTGTCAGTCAGTGCGCCACCTTGTTCCAGATTTATCTATGAATTCGTCGCTCAGTCAGTGCGCCACCTTGTTCCAGATTTATCTATGAATTAGTCTCTCAGTCAGTGCGCCACCTTGTTCCAGATTTATCTACGAATTCGTCTCTCAGTAAGTGCGCCACATTTTTTTCAGATTTATCTATGAATTCGTCTCTCAGTCAGTGCGCCCCCTTGTTCCAGATTTATCTATGAATTCGCCTCTCAGTCAGTGCGCCTCCTTGTTCCAGATTTATCTATGAATTCGCCTCTCAGTCAGTGCGCCTCCTTGTTCCAGATTTATCTATGAATTCGTCTCTCAGTCAGTGCGCCTCCTTGTTCCAGATTTATCTATGAATTGGCCTCTCAGTCAGTGCGCCACCTTGTTCCAGATTTATCTACGAATTCGTCTCTCAGTCAGTGCGCCACATTTTTTTCAGATTTATCTATGAATTCGTCTCTCAGTCAGTGCGCCACCTTGTTCCAGATTTATCTATGAATTCATCTCTCAGTCAGGGCGCCAGTTTGCCAAGGATTTATCAGTAAATTTGTCTGTCAGTCAGTACGCCAGCTTGTTCCAGATTTATCAGTGAATTTGTCAGTGCGCCATTTTGACCAGGATTTATCAGTGAATTTGTCTGTCAGTGCGCCATTTTGCCGAGAATTTATCAGTGAATTTGTCTGTCAATCAGTTCGCCACCTTGTCTGTTGTTTGTGTCACCTAGGCCTACATGTGGTGTATCTGTTGGGTTAGCAGTGTCGCATATCCAAGTAGGGTTCAGTACGTTGTTTATATGCACAGTTATGGACCTGTGTGCTTTGGTGTACCAAGGTGTGTGGCTATACATTGCTCGCAATAACTTGTGAATGAGTCTAGCTGGGAGATTTAGAGTTTGGAAGATTGAATGGCTTGCATTTAAATAGGTAAATGTGCTAATCCTGTCTTACACATTATACCCGACTGTCCTTGGTTATCGGGCAAGCCCCCTTTTATAAATAGTATATGTAATAGTCTGCAGTCAAAGATAACATGGCCGTAATCATATTTTTTGGTAGTGACAGGGTTGATATATTATAAACAATTTACTCACTATTATTTTGAAATTTACAAGTACTCCGATATTTTTTAAATACATATGATTCAGGAATTTTATGTACTTATCCTTCCGTTTCAACACTAGTTCAGATAAGTTGGAATGTTTACCCTCTTGACCCCTAGCATCACCTGTGCCCGTATTCATGAAACCGTTCTCATGCTCGAGCATGGATTTTGTCCTCAAGCTCATTTTCTTGTTCTGCTTATAAATTCATAAAAAAACACATTTTGTCAATTATTGCTTTCAATGTTTACCATTTACTATTTGATTGTTTGGCATGATTTAAGTGCGTTACAAGAAAGTTGGTTTGAGCACAGAATCCATGCTTGAGCATGGAAATGGTTTCATGAATTTCTTATCCTGATGTCAAAACCACACTCGGTGATCTGTATATGTTGATCGGACAAAGTATCTTGTAAGACGAACGCAAGACACAAACATGGGACTGCACATGCAGTTTGTGACAAAATGAATTGCATTATCTGACGTGGTCCTACACAGAATCCATCAGTATCCCAATAAATGATAGGATGATAGGGGTATCTTCATACTTTGGACCCTTAATGGAAATTATGGGTAATGTTTAATTCGCCTACGTGCGTAAAACAATTCTGAGGTATTTTTCGTGTAATTTAAAATTCAAATGTCACAATTAAGATAACATGCTTACGGCATACATTTTAAGATAACGTACGTTCTTGAATTCTGAAAATTTCTTGTGAAATTGAAATTTATCTTATATCCGATATTTTTGTGTTACCAGCCTTAAGCTTTCAACCAATGTAATAAATCAGAACAATAATGATACATATCCATTTTTTGTATGTATCATTTTGTTTAAAATAGTAACGAAAATGTTATGCGGGACTTCAATGTTTAGGTAATTAAAGTAACAAGTAGACAATTATATCAATGCATGTCGTTTATTGCGCAAAATAGATAATAGTTGTATAAAAGCAGAAAAAGGGTATAAAGAATATAAAAATCTGGATTAATATGATTATATTTGACAAGAAAGAGTGAAATTAAAAAAAAAGAATGTTATGAAAATATGGCACGGGTCTTTGTTGGGTATTCGTCTAGCCAGGTTCTTATGCTGAAAAATAAGAAGGAGACACTTTCAACAAAAGCTGTTAATACATATAGGATCTTAAATGGGTTTTCATTTCAAACGAGATTTTATGAAACCAGTCTTAGGAGTTTTTATTTTTGCGAGCCTTAGCGAGCAAGAATTCAAACTTTGAGACGAGTTTCATAAAAGCTCATATGAAATGAAAACAAATTTTTAAGACACTGTTTTTCACATAACTCAGAAAATTTTGACAGGTTTTAAAGTCAAAATGTAGAGGGTTTAATTAATCAAATAGAAATAGCCATTTTGTTGCGCCATTCACAATTAATGACGTCACGTCATTGTCCATATTATGACGTCACAATCGATTTCTGACTGGCACAGCCAATGAAAAACGCTCCAGTGTATATTACACTAGTGACATATGTGGAAATATTACACGGGCGAATTCACTGGATAACAGGCCGATTATGTGATAAGTTTTAATACAGGGAGACACAAAAAGCCATCGTAACATACAGAAACATGGTTGTGTATATAAATAACGAGACAGATTGTTCAGCAATGACTAATGACGTCATTGTGAATGATTTATGGCCCCTTTTGTGAAGTGGGATTATTAAAAATGTGAAGAAAAGTTTTGGTGTTTTTTGTATGAGGCGATTTTAGAGTTGGTTGTGACAAACAGTTCTACTTATATTACGTGATTGTAGACAACTAAATGCGTTTCCATATGGCGTAATTGTACTGTAAGATGTTCCCCAGTTCCCCTAAAAACAAGAGGATCTGTGCGACCTAGTTACAGTGCGGGATGTGCCTTATAATATAGAGTTGTGGAATGAATTTAAAGTTCTATCATTATCATCTTAAGACAAACTATTTCAAAAGGCCTAGTGTCGAGTCTAACTGATGTTTAGTACCAATGCAATTTTAACCCGTACAATTGGTTTGTGTTGAGCCATCCGTCGCGTTTGTTATTTGTAAACATTTCGTGTTGGTGTATCAAATGGGGAACACAAGCTTGGTCCAGAGGACCTAAGACTTGTTTCCGAACATTGAACTTTGGGACTGCTTACTGGTAAGTGATTACATTCTACCACTATTTCCTGACATTTGAAATATTATTATACACATACTTTTTTTCATTCAAAAACATGGCTCTCCGTTTTTTTGTTATCTTTCTTTTTTCAATCATGTATCTGTGATTATCTCCATTTGCATTTGATATTATCAAGCGTTAGTGTTTCGCTTTATACATGTATGCATGTTTGTCTCGTTTTTGTGTAGGCGACTCTAAACAAAGTAACATATCTTGTGACGTTTATAATTATTTAATGTGATGAAATGGATGATGGTAGGGGGATGATTGGCAAGTGACCTCTGTGTGATCTCTTATTCAAGATGTGACCTCTGTGTGATCTGTTATTGAAGACGTGACCTCTGTGTGGTATCTTATTGAAGATGTAACCTCAGTGTGATGACTTATTGAAGATGTGACATCCATGTGATCTCCTATTGAAAATGTGACCTCTGTGTGATCTCCTATTGAAAATGTGACCTCTGTGATTTCTTATTGAAGACGTGACCTCTGTGTGATATCCTATTGAAGACGTGACCTCTGTGTGATATCTTATTGAAAATGTGACCTCTGTGTGATCTCCTATTGAAAATGTGACCTCTGTGTGATCTCCTATTGAAAATGTGACCTCTGTGTGATTTCTTATTGAAGACGTGACCTCTGTGTGATATCCTATTGAAGACGTGACCTCTGTGTGATATCTTATTGAAAATGTGACCTCTGTGTGATCTCTTATTGAAGATGTGACCTCTGTGTGATATCTTATTGAAAATGTGACCTCTGTGTGATCTTTTATTGAAGACGCGACCTATGTGTGATCTCTTACTGAAAATGTGACCTCTGTGTGATCTCTTATTAAAGACGTGACCTCTGTGTGATCTCTTATTCAAGATGTGACCTCTGTGTGATCTCCGATTGAAAATGTGACCTCTGTGATTTCTTATTGAAGACGTGACCTCTGTGTGATATCCTATTGAAGACGTGACCTCTGTGTGATCTCTTTTTAAAGACGTGACCTCTGTGTTATCTCTTAGAGAAGATGTGACCTATGTGTGATCTTTTATTGAAGACGCGCCCTATGTGTGATCTCTTACTGAAAATGTGACCTCTGTCTGATCTCTTATTGAATATGTGCCCTCTGTGTTATCTCTTAGTGAAGATGTGACCTCTGTGTGATCTCTTATTGAATATGTGACCTCTGTGTTATCTCTTAGTGAAGATGTGACCTATGTGTGATCTTTTATTAAAGACGTGACCTCTGTGTTATCTCTTATTGAATATGTGACCTCTGTGTGATCTCTTATTGAATATGTGACCTCTGTGTTATCTCTTAGTGAAGATGTGACCTCTGTGTGATCTTTTATGGAACATGTGACCTCGGTGTATAAAAGGTCGACATGAAGAAATGTTTCTGTAAGGCGTTATAATCGTTAAGATATGTGACTAATGATGAATGGTTATACTTACAACAATCGCCTCTCAGTATTCGAACGTTGTCAATGGCAATAAGGTCGGCTGCATAGCTCCCCACCACACCAACAAAGTATACCTATAATAAAGTCACATCACTAGATTAGTACATGTCTCGCTTATAAGTACCGATAAATCTGATATCTTTCTTATCTAACAAAATCCTGTCATCGTAGAAACTACCGAATGAGACATTGTGTTAAGGTTCCCTGTCCCACTGCACGGTGGTTGTTCGTATACATAGTAGCCTCCCCTTGACTGTGATTTTGGTATATCTGTAGACATAGTAGCCTCCCCTTGACTGTGCTTTTGGTATATCTGTAGACATAGTAGCCTCCCCTTGACTGTATTTTGGGTATATCTGTAGACCTAGTAGCCTCCCATTGACTGTGTTTTGGGTATATCTGTAGACCTAGTAGCCTCCCCTTGACTGTGTTTTGGGTATATCTGTAGCATAGTTACACCTAGTAGCCTCCCCTTGACTGTGTTTTGGGTATATCTGTAGACTTAGTAGCCTCCCCTTAACTGTGTTTTGGTATATCTGTAGCATAATTAGACCTAGTAGCCCCCCTTGACTGTGTTTTGGGTATATATGTAGCATAGTTAGACATAGTAGCCTCCCCTTGACTGTGTTTTGGGTATATCTGTAGCATAGTTAGACCTAGTAGCCTCCCTTTGACTGTGTTTTGGGTATATCTGTAGCATAGTTAGACCTAGTAGCCTCCCCTTGACTGTGTTTTGGGTATATCTGTAGCATAGTTAGACCTAGACATTACCGTTAACCGGGAAGGTTGGCGGAATAGAGCAAAATAATTTAAAAACTCGAGGTTCTGGGTTCGAATTCCGGTATAGCATGATTGGTTTTGTACGTTCAGAACACAGTTCTTGAGTATATTTGTTTCTCGTCATCTTCATCAATAATAATTTAACAACAGGTATTTTTGATATACTTGAGTTGAGATAAACAATCACTAGTGATGTTACCTCAATGAAACGAGAGCGGATTCGGAATGTTGCGCTATTCCAATCGTTGCCTTGGTCGCCTGACTTTTGCCACTGGAGCTCAAAGGTATAGTTGTCAGCAGTATATATCTGAAGATAGTGATGTGCTCCTTTCATGTGGTAATTAAACGTCAGACACTTAACCTCATCTGTAAATATACATTGAATTAAAACATATATGTATTATTGATTATTCTTAAAGATAATTTTGGAATGGTGATTTTCCGTACGAGATATTGTAAAAAAGAGTAAATCATGACCAATTTACGCCACATACACATCCCCAATATGTAACACACATGCCGTTCGATAGGCATTTACTATGGACTGTATACAAATCTCAATTAGAAAAAAATAACTATTACTATCAGCAACTAAGAACGAATAGAAATGACTGAAGATCATTTTAGTATCTGCAATGCTATTATGTAACTTGGATATCTTTAGTCGTTTGCTTGTGTTCTGTCCTCTCTCACTTTGAATGATATCGATCACGAAGGCTGGAATCAAAACAAACGCACCTCAATACTGGTATTACACAAAAAACAAACTTGTGCAGTACGTACCTGGTAAGTCGTGAGCTACCAGCATGCCATAGGTACCGACGTCCTTTCCTGCGGTGTCTATGTACATGTACTTGTCCCCATCATAAGCGCTGATTGGAGCAGAACTTGGTATCGATGTAGAATTCTGCATTAGAATCAAAACTCACTAAAATGTATTTTATTTAAAACGAAGTAATGTAACTTCTTATCTGACCGAATGTTTTGTAATTTTAACTGACTCATTTAACTATGTCATACAGCCATGCCATAAATATGGTATTGCACGTGTATAATAAAACCGAAAGGTGCTGCGATTGGTCAAAACCGTGGGAGCATATTCCTACGCAAATATGCAAAATTTTGAACTTTATCAAATGATTTTTGTCTGATAAAGTTTAATGTATTTGCTATTAGATTATTTGGAAATGTCTATTTTGTCATTATCATTTTCATTGCATTTCAAACTGATCATTATTTAAAAATATAATCTGAAACTGTTTTGCACTGTGCGGAGAGACAATAGTATTGTCGGAGTACTGTGTTTTTTGCCTTTAAAGAGTCAACTGATAAATGTGTTTATAGTTACTTTTGAAATTATGAGTTTTATGTGATAAATATAATCTTACATTCGTGTCCATGTCATATTGAATTTATTAAACTTGTTCAACAATTTGATATGAAAATTGCCTAAAGGATCGTGTCATATGCAATTATTGAACTCGTTTAATAAATTCAATATGACATGGACACTCATATAAGATCCACTATTTATTATATATCTGAGTCAGCGAAGTTTAATTACACGGCGAGGTCTCCCTGATCCACTGCATTGTGTGTCTGGATAACGGGGAAACTCTACCATGTGGATTGTGTGTCTAGATAACGGGGAAACTCTACCATGTGCATTGTGTGTCTGGATATAGGGGAAACTCTACCATGTGGATTGTGTGTCTGGAGAACGGGGAAACTCTACCTTGTGGATTGTGTGTCTGGAGAACGGGGAAACTCTACCATGTGGATTGTGTGTCTGGAGAACGGGGAAACTCTACCATGTGGATTGTGTGTCTGGAGAACGGGGAAACTCTACCATGTGGATTGTGTGTCTGGATAACGGGGAAACTCTACCATGTGGATTGTGTGTCTGGAGAACGGGGAAACTCTACCATGTGGATTGTGTGTCTGGAGAACGGGGAAACTCTACCATGTGGATTGTGTGTCTGGATAACGGGGAAACTCTACCATGTGGATTGTGTGTCTGGATAACGGGGAAACTCTACCATGTGGATTGTGTGTCTGGAGAACGGGGAAACTCTACCATGTGGATTGTGTGTCTGGAGAACGGGGAAACTCTACCATGTGGATTGTGTGTCTGGATAACGGGGAAACTCTACCATGTGGATTGTGTGTCTGGATAACGGGGAAACTCTACCATGTGGATTGTGTGTCTGGAGAACGGGGAAACTCTACCATGTGGATTGTGTGTCTGGATAAAGGGGAAACTCTACCATGTGGATTGTGTGTCTGGAGAACGGGGAAACTCTACCATGTGGATTGTGTGTCTTTGTGTGTCTGGATAAAGGGGAAACTCTACCATGTGGATTGTGTGTCTGGATAACGGGGTAACTCTACCATGTGGATTGTGTATTGGATCATACAAGATACTTGTTGAATCTATTGAGACATTCACGTACTCTGTAACAACCCTGAATAATTTTATCTAAATCGAGGAATTCTTAAAGATAAGTAACATGCAAATCAATATTTCTGCCCTACTCATTTAGTCAAAGTGATCGAATTGTCGATGCTTTTATCTCACTTCTCTTGTTATTTTATGAAAGTTTCGAAATGAATTATCAAAGCGTTTGTTATGTCGTTAAAGATAGTTTACTGTTCATCGTTAACGATAGTGAACAGTTCATCGTTAACGATAGTTTACTGTTCATCGTTAACGATAGTGAACTGTTCATCGTTAACGATAGTTTACTGTTAATCGTTAACGATAGTGAACAGTTCATCGTTAACGATAGTTTACTGTTCATCGTTAACGATAGTGTACTGTTCATCGTTAACGATAGTGAACTGTTCATCGTTAACGATAGTATACAGTTAATCGTTAACGATAGTGTACTGTTCATCGTTAACGATAGTGTACTGTTCATCGTTAACGATAGTTTACTGTTCATCGTTAACGATAGTTTACTGTTCATCGTTAACGATAATTTACTGTTTATCGTTAACGATAGTTTACTGTTCATCGTTAACGATAGTTTACTGTTCATCATTAGAGTTTCTGGCAGTGGTACATACATCCTTATTGTGATGCTAGTTTAATCCAACACAATTACTTACTGTATTGATAATCCAGTTAAAGTAGTCGTAGTTTACTTGGGTCAGTGAACAGGTTTGCTCCCCATCCTCAAACGAGCAGGCCATAATTTCAGGATCTTTATCACAAAATGGCATACTGTTATTCATTGTTTATTTATGAAAAAAACATTTACAACGAAATTATCATAACCACAAACAGCCGTATTAAACACACCGGCTAATGTCCATGCAGTATAGTTATGTATACCACCGTATCTTACCGTACGAGGCGAATAGTATGGGGGTCCCGGCGGATTCGGGGGTGTCTTCTGTGACTTATGTTAAGGGGACATTGAAGAAACCACAACTGTTCTACTGTTCTCATAGCAACGCATGGCGGCTATTTATGTATTCTTCCCTAATGATTCCGTTTGAAGGTGTTTCCCTAATCAAGCATCTTCATATGACATCAGATGTGGCGAGGACATTAAACCCCTAACAAACATAACGATCTACACAGTTACCACAACCCAAACAAACATTACGAACACACATAACGATCTACACAGTTACCAAAGCCCCAGCAACCATTGAGATCTACACAGTTACCACAACCGAAGCAACCATTACGATCTACACAGTTACCAAAACCCCAACAAACATTACGATCTACACAGATAACAAAACCCAAACAAACATTACGATCTGCACAGTTACCACAACCCAAACAAACCTTACGATCTACACAGTTACCAAACCCCAAACAAACATTACGATCTACACAGTTCCCACAACCCAAACAAACATTACGATTTACACAGTTACCACAACCCAAACACACATAACGATCTACGCAGTTACCACAACCCAAACAAACATTCCGATCTACACAGTTACCACAACCCAAACAAACATTACGATCTACACAGTTACCACAACCGAAACAAACATTACGATCTACACAGTTACTACAACCCAAACAGACATTACGAGCTACACAGTTACCAAAACCCAAACAAACATTACGATCTACACAGTTACCACAACCCAAACAAACATTACGATCTACACAGTTACCACAACCCAAACAAACATTACAATCTACACAGTTACCACAACCCAAACACACATTAATATCTACACAGTTACCACAACCAAAACAAACATTACGATCTACACAGGTACCACAACCCAAAGAAACATTACGATCTACACAGTAACCACAACCCAAACAAACATCACGATCTACAGAGTAACCACAACCCAAACAAACATAACGATCAACACAGTTATCACAACCCAAACAAACATTACGATCTGCACAGTTAGCACAACCCAAACAAACATTACGGTCTACACAGTTACCACAACCCAAACAAACATTACGATCTACACAGTTACCACAACCCAAACAAACATCACGATCTACACAGTTATCACAACCCAAACAAACATTACGATCTACACAGTTACTACAACTCAAACAAACATTACGATCTACACAGTTACCACAACCCAAACAAACATTACGATCTACACAGTTACCACAACCCAAACAAACATAACGATCTACACAGTTATCACAACCCAAACAAACATTACGATCTACACAGTTACCACAACCCAAACAAACATTACGATCTACACAGTTACTACAACCCAGACAAACATTACGATCTACACAGTTACTACAACCCAGAAAAACATTACGATCTACACAGTTACCACAACCCAAACAAACATCACTAACTGATTTCTCCTTTTTGTTAAGACTGCGTCTTAATAATGTATTACAATGCCTTCTCCAAATCCTGTTAATCTATCCCTTTTGGGGACATCGGTAGCCATGATCGCCAACGTGCAGTCTTTTCTACTGTGTGCAATCAAGCGTGAGCTTCAGACCACTCACTCTCCCAAACATTTCGGTTCGATCCCAAACGGAAAAAAGTGAGTCATGTCTGATAGGGTTAGTTGTTATCCCTCCGATGGCACGGTGGTTTTCCTGATAAAAATGTGTCTCTGTCAAACACATAATAGTTTCAAGCTTGTTACGTACTAATCTTACTTCAAGATGGGTTATTTGAATAGTGTTTAAGGACTCACGATTGAATTCTGCATCATTACTCAGAATAACAATTAATACAGAAAACATTACTTTCATTGTATATTGCTTAATAAGGCAAACACATATTCAGTATATAGAGGGAGGAGTGAATTTTTTAGTTCAAGCAATAACCTCGTCAGAGAGACACTAGTCATGTCTACCTTGAGATAACCGTGTGACTCACTATATGTATTTGGGTACATATCAACATTTTTCAAAATGGAAATATTTACTCAGACAAACGAGCAAATCATTTGTAGGACAGAATGTACAAATGTATTATGATAAGTTGGAGGTGTAACTATGATACATGCTATGCTGCTATTCTGTAAATATTGAGTCAAGACAGATACATTCAAAGAATACGAAATGCTATCGTACATCAACAGAAAACAAAAATCACCCGAATATGCCACAGCTGTGTATATTTAAAATACAAATAAACAAATTTCTATAATGTCACACAAACTAAATACTGCTGACCTGATCGATTTACAATGTCAATTAAAAACAAGATCCATCGAAACGTCGAAACGTATGCAAGGCTAGTAACAAAAATAAGTCAGCAGGAGGTTGACGAGGGGTGACTGAGTAAAGTGACGGACGAATACAATTCATTGTTGGATAATAGTGTTTAGTCTCCAGATATAAAGGCATAACTTAGTTAAAGGACTGATCTTTACTCAATTCTACAATATAAGAAGTAAGCTCACATAGTAAAGTCATGGACTGCGATAATGAATAGTCTGCTCTTACCTTCAGTATCACACAAGCTACCCGAGAAACCAGCAGCACATATGCACGAAGAACTGCCATCAGATTCTGGTACGCAAGTTCCACCATTCTCACAGGGGTTGGGGGTACATGGGTCTATAAAAAATGCTCTTAGATAATTAAAGGATTATCATCCCACTTCACCGTGTTTTTTTTATATATCCAGTTACCTCCTTTCAATTTCGTTTTGAATATAATTGCAGCACATTTTATCCGAATCGATTTAGTTGACAAGATAGCTCTTTTATCTGTATATGTCAATCGGTTAAGTATTCAACTAAAGTGTATCAAAGGATCAAATGCGGTATGCCCCGTTATCTGCCCCAATATTCTGACATTCATGATTTTACAAATTTTACATTTTTATGATTTGAAATTATAATTAAGATGCATTATAGTTCTGGAAAAACTTTTGATTTTAATTATATTGTCTTGAATATAAAATCGGGATGGTTTATTGAGGCGCACGTACGAGATTTTCGCGAAAACAACAGAAATTTACGTGTACAACATCAAAATTAAGTAGGAGCGCAGTTTTGCTCCACAAAGATATTTTAGTTTTGACTTTCTTTGTGGAAAACAGATCGACTCCTTAAGTTTCGTTTTGGAGCACGACTGCGCTCATATCTAAAGATTGAAAAAATATCTCAAAAAGGCGAACCTCGTCCGAAACACAAAATGAGCGATGACTATAATAATCGAAGCGACGAGTTTATCCGGATTTTGTCGTTCCTGTGATAAATAATTCACACATATTTTTGTTTTGTAAAAATATTATTTTATACTTTGCTTATTTCAAAATGTATATTTAATTTATGTATCATATTTTAAACGTAAGAAAAGTAAAATTTGATAATGATAAAAAATAAGTTTCACATTTTCCGTAAATTCCGGACCTTGTCGATTAAACTACTGTACTCCTACCGCGGAAACGTCAACAAAGCGCTAATCATAACAAAGCTGCTCTTCGGCCTATTATACTGCAAAGAAGTGGAGTTTTCATCTGCTGGATCCAGAATACTTTATATTTGGTAGGTGTTTATTTAAAGATAATGTGTATGCACACAGAATATAGAATGCAGCTTGTAATATCGATGTTTGGTGAGTTTGCCAACTGTCCCGAGATGTTGAAAACCAGACGGGCAGACGACAGTTACTTGGCAAGTTTAAATGCCCAATACTAGCCCTAATGCAACCAAATATTACCTAATACTGTATTCAATACTACAAAATACTACCTTATAACCACCTTATATCGCCAACACATAAATTGTTTACTACGAAGGTGATGAGTTGTAATATATCTGCCGACAAAACGTCGTAAGGGGGGGGGGGGGGGGAACTAAAGACCAGATAGATGAAGAGAGTTGGCCGGAATATAATGGGATTAACCAGAATGAGTTTTTATTTTTTATTAACAATTTTCACTTTATCAAAACTTGAAATCAATCTTTTTGGTAATATGATTTACAAAGACTTTTTTTT